TTTGTGGCAGGATCTTCCGGTTTGGGTGGAATTTTCGCTCCCTTGGGAAGAAGAATGGTGTTAGCATTGTTCTTCATTGTGGTCCTCGGCCCTTACTTTTATAGGCAGTCTTTTTGAAGGCATTCATAGATTCATCGTCGTTCACAGACTCATGGGTTGACAAAGAGCAAGATGCCCCGCAGTCTTGCTCTTGATCGTCATCAAGAGAAGATTCCTCCACGAGGGTTTCCTCGTCAGTCTCAAGCAGATCGTGTGCTGCAAAACGGCTGTTGCATGGAAACCGTTTGCGGTCGGTGGTCTTTTTGCCACTTGATCCACGCGGGAGGTCTTGTGCCTCCAACTTGACTAAGTCCCGCATGAGGGTAAACCAATCTGTATATGCGCTGAGTCCGAGCCCTAGGCGATCTTTTGTAGTAGAGGGGACCGTACCTTTTATCACATCCAGACAGGACTGCACAGTCATCTCCAGATCCGGAGTGCTGCAGGCTGTGCATGGTGCCGGTCCACTTGCTGTGCTTGAGCTTGTCAAGCTTGAGTCTAGCCTTGGCTGCAGCTTGTGGATCAGCATACTGTTTGATCAAGAGCTCTTCGAGTGTGGCTACCGGCGTAGCCTTCAGCTATTTGTTCAGGTCTATCCTTGTAAAGCCTGCTTGTACAGCCTGGATTTCCAAGAATCCTCTCACGGCGGATTCCACATTGGTCCCTAGGACCGACGACTGAGTAACTGGGAGTGTCCCAGCACATCGAAGTAGGATCGCATGGAGCTGATCCAAGATTTGATGTCGTCCTTTCCATCATACTTGGACGGAATCTGGGCCGCCTTTCTATCCATATAGGAAAGGCTGCAGCTTGGACCAGCGGCTGCTGGGTCCGAACTCGGGACTGCAACAGTTGCACAATGCCCTGCACTACTACTTGCTGCTGCAGCAGCAGCAGCGGGGTCTGGACTTGCTGCAAATCCGGATAGGCTGTTAGTCACACTCAAAGAAGAAGAAGAAGTAGAAGAAGACACATTCAGAGGGGCAAGAACGGACTGACACGCAGCACTAGAAGCAGGGTAAGCAGGGGAAGGATACTTTGGGCTGGCTGCACATTAGCGAACTGTTGCAGCTGGTCACGGTGCTGCTGCGCCATCAGGGCCATGTCGTCTCGTAACTTTTTGAGTTCGTCGAACACTTTGGCGAGTTGGCCAGTATGGTCCTCAACAGCCCGAATATCTACCAAAGCCCGGAGGAGTGGAACAGTTTTCTCTCCCACCTCCTCATCGGTTAGGGCAGGCAAGGTACAGAAAATGGCTTCATGAGCCTTTACCTTCTCCTCCCTCTCCTTCTCTTTTTCTTCCTCCTCCCTCTTCAATGCTTTCTCATAGAAGAATCGGTACTGCGCTTTCTCTGCCTCAGGGGCAGCGTCCATTTGCAGCTTCCAATGTGCTGCAGATGCCATGATGGAGGACAAGGGAATCAATAAGTCTCTCAAGAGGGGTCCGTACTTCCTTACTTGCCTGGGACGAACACTCCTCTTCCCTCTCCTCACTCCCTCAAGAGCAACACTCAGAAGCTTCTCTCTTCTCTCTCTCTCTCTCTCTCTCTCGTTTGCGACCGTGTAGACGCAGGCATTAATGAACCCAATGAAAGAAACAGCTTGAAATCAGTCAGAAGAGAAGGTAGAACTCCTAGCCGGAGCGGCAATTCATTTGGACTGGAGAGCAGTCAAGCAAAACAAAAAAAGAAGATCAGAGAGATCTGATCCAGCCACACAGTCTGGACCGACTACGTATGGGGTCCTCCCAAGCCTAGCCGGACTCAACTCCATGAAGACACAGCAAATCAGATTCAAAGTGTACAGCGTAATGCAAGAGAGAATTGAGTGGTGCCCAAGGTGCGGGTCAGGCGGCGGATCATGCGGTAAAGTCTGATAAAACGTCCCAGCGGAGATCCCCTCCGCAGCGAGTGTCCTGGTCCGAAAGCATAAAGGCCGAGTCCCAATCAGATAGAGCAAGGTAACTGACGTCAACAGATCTGGCCTGAGGGCCCCTTCTTGTTTGGGCCCGGTCCCACTGAGTCCCAAACGGTCCCAGTGGAGTCAGAACCGGGTCCCAACCAACAAGAGTTCCACAAAGACCTACTCTGTCCCTACCAAATTGAAAAACGAAATTGTGCCCCAGAAAGTACCTGTAGACTACAGCCGTTCAGAATGAAATAAACAAAGCACTCTAGAGAGATATCACATGGCAAACAAGATACTCCATTCATTCACTCGTCAGGTAAGTAGGCAGTTCACACACCTCACACACAATCAAGACTATGGAGGATGGAAGAAGAACCCAGAGAACCCCAACAGGCAGTCAATTCCATGCACACACACATGGGCACCCTGGTGGCACGGCACTTACCTGAGTGGCCGGGCTCTTGAGATGAAAAGAACTCACCCCCCTCTCACATAGTCCTCCTGACCCAATTAGCAACCTCTACACTAGTGTCCTATCATCTAGGAGGGTCAACATCTACCCCAAAGTGCAAAGCCGGATCCCCCGTCAATGTTGAAGATCAAAGCAGCAACTTGCAGTCTGTAGGTGCAGATATGGCTGCCACCTTCAAGCTCGCCTACTTGAGGGGAGCCCTAAAGTCACTCCTCGTCTTCCTTGAAGTCCAGATTCAAGTTGTAGGTGCCCTTCACTGTCGCCTCTCTCAAATTGCATCACGAAGTCCCACCTTGTGTCGCGCCACCACAAACATGCACTCAAGCAACCTGGCCGGGTCTAGTGTCGACCCTACACGGCCCTGCCAGGTGGGAGCAGCTTCCCTTCACCACGCTGCCCCACTTATTCCTAACTTCCAGCCCTAACCCTAAGTGGTTAGCCCTTACCACTAGGGTTAGGGTTATGGCAGCAAAGTCAACTCTCGCCAGCAAGTAGAATCCGCTCTGATACCAATGTTACGATCCTGGCCCATTTTGAAGTATACATTCATCTGAAAGTACAATGCCATCCAATTGCAAAAAGAAATGAATGAACTTGAGAGGAAAGAGAGGGAAAGAAGAAGAAGAAGAAGTGAGAAAGAAGAAGATGATGGTGTACTCCAGCATAGACCAATGTCAAGGCTCTTCTTCTTCGCCAACGAATCCCTTCCTCCTTATCTCCTCCCTCTTATTCAAACAAGAAATAACAATAATAATGTTGAATG